TTTTTAATTAAAAAAAATAAGGTGGAGAGTGATGGAGGAAGTCACCAGGCATTGCCCTCGGGTCTCCATATGCACACACAGACACACATCAAAAAGAGAATGAAAGGGAGAAGGGGCATTGAATCCAGCCTCTATCCAGGGCCTCCTGGGAGGTGGCCTTGAAGGAGGCAGAAGTGTGCACAGCAGGAGCTGGTGGGCCCTGTGTCAGATGCTGTGTCTTCGAGATGCAGTCAGCCATTGGCATGGCCACCCGAGCAAGGGTTGATGGGCAACCAGGAGTGTGGTAGTTTCTGGGGCGCTTCACCCTGTGCCAGGGCTTGGTCTGGGGCTCCTGCAAGGGCAGTCCTGGCTCAGCTGGAGCACGGGAGAATGGGGGAGAGTGCCACCAGAGTGGGAAGAACAGGGAGAGTGAGGTCAGGGTGTCGGTTGGAGAGATGACAGTGGTGGGGCCAGGGTGTCAGTTGGGGAGAGGGCAGCCAGGGCTCACCACCTGCAGAGCTGGGTGGCTGAGGAGCAAAGGTAGATGAAAGGCAGGTTTGGGGAGCTCAGCTGTGGAGGACAGGATTGGGTGGGATTGGAGGAAAAGCCGAGTATGGCCTGAGGGCTCGAAATGTGATGCTTAGCTTGGAGCAGGTTAGCAGCTCAGAAATAACCAGCCGAGGGAAGAGGCAGAGAAGGAGCAGGGAAAGGAGTAGGGTTACTTACACGGGGCCTGGATTGTGTGTGGGGAGGGGAGGTCACCCCACAAAGGCACCGGGAAGAGGATCTGTACATTCTGGGGGAAGGGTCTCAGTGGGGTCAGGCAGGGAAGACCCAGAGGGGGAAGGCCCAGGTACATCTAAGATGGGTGGGTGGGGCTTCCTGCCAGGTTTGGGGACAGGCTATTACTGGTTGGATGGACAGGGGTGGAGGACACCAGAATTCTAACCCCTCTACCCCAATCCAAGGGGCATTCCGGCCTGTGCCACATCCCTGCTCACTCCCGGTTCTCCCACAGGGACCAGCGCTGTGACTACTGGATCAGAACTTTTGTTCAGAGCTCCAGGGCTGGCCGGTTCACCCTGGGAAACATTCGCAGTGAGTCCTGAGAGGAGTGGGGCCCTTGTCCTTCTACCCAGACTCTGTAATGGGGAGAGGCACTCTGAAAGTCGGGTAGAAAGTACACAACGCCTGCTTTCCTCTTCTCGGGGCAGAACCCATCCCCTGTCCTTCTCGCCCACAGGTTATCCTCAGATACGGAGCTACAACGTACAAGTGGCCACTACTGACTACGACCAGTTTGCCATGGTGTTTTTCAAGAAGAGGACTTCTGGAAACAAACAGTACTTCAAGGTCACCCTGTATGGTGAGTTCTTGGATGCTGCTTAGAGACTCAACTTCCGGTTACACTCAAGGTTGGGATCCCACAGTCTCAGCCCAGGGAGTGGTCTCTCTGCAGACCTCCACGGATAACAAGTCTGAGACCTCACTTGCTAGGTCAGTGATAGGTATGGAGTGTCCTGTGATCACTCTCTGCTGATCTTGGTTGCAGGAAGAACCAAGGAACTGCCCGATGAACTAAAGGAGCGTTTTGTCCGCTTTGCCAAGTCTCTGGGGCTAACAGATGACCACATCATCTTCTCTGTCCCCACCGGTAATGGCCAGCTGGGGAGAGGGGAAAGGGACGTGGGGATGTGGGGACTGTCCAGGCTGATACCTGCCCACCAGAGAAAGGGAAGACACGGTCCCTTGCTCTAGCCACTGGGATCCACCTTGAGGTCTGGAAGACTCTGTGACACCCTGCGGTCTGTGGAGTCCTTAGGGATCCCAGCCCTAAGTTTTCCTTCTGCCAGTTGACCCAGAACATTCCCAGATGAGGAAACCTGGTTTATCTCAAATACCCTCAGCAGTGCTGCCCCAAGCCACTTCCGCCTACAGCTGGAACCTTGGACAAACAAACCTACAAACCCTGAGCCTTGCTGTCTGGGGCCTATCCCCATCCCATGACTTGGGAGACATCTTGTTTTCAAGTAGCCTGAGCAGGAGGCTCCTCCAGTCAGGTCACACAGAGCCACCAGCTGAGATGCTACCAGGGCCCAGCAGATAAGCAGGCAGAAAGCCTGGGTACACGATCTGCTAAGTACCTCCCACCCCTGCCCTTTGGCAGTTCTTTGGGTCTTTCTCTCGTGTTGTCTGTTCCACATGGGTCCTTTCGCTGCCCCAACCCTGAAAGAAGTCCCAGATCTTTTGTAGTTAGTTGGGCTAGTCTGGACCTGAGGAAACATAGGCTCCTAGTGGCCAGACATCACAACATGCACCCGTACTCTCTTCTGACGAACTTTCTCTCCTACAGACCAATGCATTGACAACTGAACAGGCAGTGAGTGTGGCTGGAATGGGGAGGGGCCGGGTGGGAGGCCAGGACATAGGGGACAGGGTCTCCAGCCTGTGGCTGGCTGGGATGGGCAGCGACCCATTGGGAGGCTGGGGTATAGGTGATGGGGGTCTCCAGCCTGTGGCTGGCTGGGATGGGCAATGACCCAGTGGGAGGCCAGGGTGTAGGGGACGGGGGTCTCCAGCTTGTCTTCGCTCTTCCCCTGAACGGTGGTGTTCTGATTCTGCTACAGTTTCTCAGGTGCTTCCTGCCTGTCCCCGGTCCCATCTCTCCTGTTGCTGAGAGCTACTTGGTTACCCGCCAGCCACAAAACAATGAGTAGCAGATGACTCTTCTTATCTGGGCAGCACTGCCCAGCCACCTGCCCCAATGGCACCCCCTTGTCTGCTAAATAAACGCCTGTCTCAAATTCTCTGAGTCTGTGCTGCTTAACCCCATAACAATGAGGGGAGGGGCAGAGGGTGGGCTCACACCAGTGTTAGTCCAGCATGATGGTAGGTAGGACTGCAGAAAGAAGGCTCAGGGAAAAGAAGGCTCCAGAACTCCAGCCTCGCCCCAGCTTCCACCATCGTGACCACTAACTGCCCCAAATCCCTCCTGTACAGAACAATATTACACTTGCTGCTGTTTTGGCTTGGTGCCCCCAGCAAGGGCAACACTAGCTCCTCCGTGCCTTGTCTCCAATGGGCATCTTGCACTTGGCCACCTGCACAGGTTCCAAAGGGCAGCCCCTCTGGAACTGGGAAGTTGGGAGAGCCTGGAGGGGGAATGTGGAGGTACAGACACCCCACATTCTTCCCGACCCTGTGATTGCTAGGAGTCTGCAGCCATTTCTCTTCCCCCTTCCCAGAATGCATGAGGTTCCAAATGAACCCCTTTCCCATCTCACACACAAACACAGCCCTTTTCACCTTGACTGAAAAGAGAGGTGTGTCAAGTGGCAACCAGCCACACCCACAGTCCTGCAGGGGGCAGCACAGACCTGAGACCCAGCTCAGCAGAAAGTGTTGAAATCTGGGCTGGATTTAAGAGATCTGGCTGAGCCCGGCGGGTGGCACACGCCTTTAATCCCAGCACTTGGGAGGCAGAGGCAAGCGGATCTCTGTGAATTCAAGACCAGCCTGGTCTACAAGAGCTAGTTCCAGGACAGGCTCCAAAACCACAGAGAAACCCTGTCTCGAAAAACAAAAACAAAAAAAAAAAAAAAAAAACAAAAAACAAACAAACAAAAAAAAAAGATCTGGCTGACACAGGCAGAGCAGCCTGGAGGAATAGAGGCAATGTTCAAGTCCAAGAAGGTTCCAGATGGAGAGATACAGCTAAGACCTACTGGTTAAAGCCTCAATGACTAGCCAGGAAAGGAAGACACCCACATACTTCATTCCTGAGCTCCAATTTGAACACAGATCTAAATTTTTTCTTTTGGATCAGAGTCTTACTATGTATCCCTGGCTGGTCTGGAACTCTATGAAGAGCAGACTGGCCTTGGACTCATAGAGTTCTGCCTGCTTCTGCTTTCAAAGGGCTGGGATTAAAGGCGTGCATCACCGTGCCCACATTATTTATGTATTCCTACCTATATGTACGTGAACCACATACATGCCATAGTTCTCATAGAGGCCAGGAGGAGTCGGATCACCTGGAGCTGAAGTTACAGAGTCATGAGCCACCATGGTGAGTGCTGGGAGTTGAACCCAGGTCCTTCAGAACAGACAGTGGGTTTTGATTTTTCAAGACAGGGTTTCTCTGTGTAACAGTCCTGACTGTCCCAGAACACGCTCTGTAGACCAGGTTGGCCTTGAGCTTCCAAAGATCCGCCTGCTGCCTCTGCCTCCCAAGTGCTGGGATTAAAGGTGGGCACCATCACTGCCCAGTTTATTTTTTACTTTTAATGATATGTCTGTCTGTCTGTGGTGCACATTGAGTGCAGGTGCTTGAGGAAGCCAGAGGCATTGAATTTCCCTGGAGCTGGCATTACAGGTGGATGCCAGTCGCCCGCTTCATGCCCTGTTTATTGGCATTGGTCAAATCTACTGTCCAGGCTGGAGTCTGGTCTGATTTCTAGCCATAAGTGTAGTCTTTGAGAGCCCGAAGAGAAGAGATAAGGCCAAGATAGGACGCAGTTATGGGTATCTCGGCTGCACCTGGAGGAGATGGGAAGAATGCGATTCCTTGTGACTGGGAATAAAGTTCTCGAAGCTATTTAAATCCTTGGGAGAGCCGGGCGGTATTGGCGCACGCCTTTAGTCCCAGCACTCGGGAAGCAGAAGGAGGATCTCTGTGAGTTCGAGGCCAGCCTGGTCTACAGAGCTAGTTCCAGGACAGGCTCCAAAGCTACAGAGAAACCCTGTCTCGAAAAAAAAGAAGAAAAAAAAGGGACGAAGGCAGCAGGTGGAGCCTAGTAGAAGTCTCAAGCTCTAGCGGGCCAGGGTTTCTACTGCCTGGCTTTCAGTGAGTGCACTGGCTCTGCGGACCGCGGGGTCCAGCGCCCAAGAGACGGACGCTATACGGAAGTGAGAGGAGGAGCCTGAGAGCGGACAGGGGCGGAGCCCCGCTTGAGGGCGTGGCTTGTGAGGCCTCGGGGCAGGGCTCTGGGCGGGGCTGAGGGCGGGCCGGGGTGAGCCGCTGCAATCCACCCTTCCGGCCCGGCGTTCCACCAGCTGCTTGCACCTTCCGCCCAGCTTCGGCTTTCCGCGCGACGGTCGCCAAGTTCCATTTTCGCGTTGCCTCTGCGGTGCCCGAGCCCGCAATGTCGGGCCCCAACGGGGACCTAAGCATGCCGGTGGATGCGGGCGCGGAAGGCGAGAATGACAGCTTCGGGGAAGCAGGTGACCGGGGCGGGGGCGGGCTGCCGAGGCTACCTTTGCTTTGCTAGGGGTGCCGTCCTGGGATCTGGAATGGGACCGGGATGGAGGTGTGTGTGAGGGACTGAAGAGCCGTCCCACCCCGCCCCTGGGTGGCTCTGGAGTTGTCCCCACAGTCGCCTTGGAAGCAATGGCGAGCGAGCGCTAGCGAACGGATCACTGGACGCAGCAGTACCGGGGAACTGTCCCCACCAGCCACGGTTACATAGGGGAAACTGAGGCAGCTTCACAGAAGCTTGTCGGTTTGAGATTTGCTTCAGCCACTTTCTTCGCTGAAGGGGGGACGGGTCCTGCTTGGCTCTCTGCAGGAGGGGTTCGCCCCACTGTGCTGAGTCAGCACCCCAGCCTCCTGGCTTTGCTGGTGTGACCTGCTTACCAAGCACTATGTTGGGTGCACAGCACTGCGGAAGCACCTCAGGGGAAGAATCAGCCCACAGACTCCTTTTGCACGTCTGGGAACCTCAGTTTTCCCATCTGCAATACTGGGCACATTGGTGTTTCCTGTATTGGGATGTGTGGGGATTAAAGGGCAGAACGGAATGGAAAATGGTTAGACTCTAAGCTTCCAGCGTACAAGTTCCTTCTGAAAGTGGACAGTGCTTGTATTTTTTTTTTCTTACCATAGTCAAGCCTGGTGCCTGAGCGAGAGAGCAGGTCTTGTGTAGTAAGGATGGAGTATGCTTTTGCTTTGTTATAAACGCTTTATTGAGCTGTCAGTCACACAATAGATTTTACCACATAAACCGTACAGTTCCGCAGGCTCTCACTGAATTCCCAGCATATCCATTGGCACAACAGTTTCAGAATATTTTCACCACCCAGGTTCTGCTCTTAATAAAGGTTGTCCTCCAGCTGGAGGCAGGTGCTGTGCAGCCATGGTGGGAACATCATGAGGGGACTCGGTGAGGGTGCGGTGTGACCCCGAGTGGACACTGAGATGGTGAGGTGCAGGCTATCTGACCCAAGACAGGAGCAACGGCTAGGAAGCACCCTTGACATCGATGAAGGCACCGCCTCTCCTCACCCCTCGGCTAGCCTGCCATGAAACTGGGAAGGATGGGTCTTAACAGCTGTCATTAAGTTCTTGCTGTTGCAGACCCCAACTGAGCTTTTGGAGTCCTGGAACCTCAGTGTCCCCTACTCCAATAAGGAGTTGCTGGAGTACAGACCTTCAGGGTCTCTGACCTTCAGGTCTGAGTCTTGGTCCTGCCACCAAGTAGCTATGGGAAGCTATTCTGGTTCCTTCCTTCTTAGGCCTCAGTTTCCCCATGTGTACCAGGGGGTTTGGACTTTAAGATCCAGCAGCCTTCAGAGGCTCTATCTTCTTTAGGGATGCCCTTTCTGGGAACCATCCCCCAAAGGCATATCCCAGACACCCTCCCTGGGCCTTTTTCTTAAATCCACCAGCTACTTCCCCTTTGGTCCCATGCTGGCAGCTGAGTGTTTCTGAGTCATGGCTGGCGCAGAACTGGGTCCCACAGTGGGCACAGTCCCAGACCTTGGGTCCTGAGGGACATAGGATTGCCAAGAGGCAGGTCAGAAGTCGCAGTAGAGGGAGATGGAGAAGACGCGGAGGAGGAGGTGTTTGAGCTGGTCCTTGAAGGGCTGTTGTGGTCGATGAGTTCTAGATGGTAGACAGCTGAGCAAGAGCAGGGACTGGGAAGTCAGAGCTGCATTCATTCACTCACTCACTCATTCAGTAAGTGCTTATTTGTGTCGTCGAGGGCACTGGGGAAACAGCAGAGAACACAAGACCTGTCACCTCTCCCAGACCTTTGTAACTGAGTGTGAGGTGGAGTCCAGACTATTGTCCAGCTCGTCTGAGGGGAAAGCTGTGCAAGGTGGAGGCTAGAGGCTCAGGCAAAGGCCTGGTCCAGTGTGGGACACCGGGAGGGCTCCCTTTGGTGATAGCCATACCGAGACTTAGATAAATGGTATTCATCCCAGAGGGAAAGACAAGGCCACCCAAGACATTCCAGGCAGAGCCATCAGTACGTGCAGAGGGCTTGAGATGGGCTAAGCCAGTGTGAGGGGAGAAGAGGTGGGAGGGAGAAGGGGCTAAAAGGGGAAATGGGCTGGGTCTGCTCCAGGGCCTGGAAGCTGCTGGACACTACTGTGAAGGCAGAGAGAGCCGCAGAAGGGCTGGAGGTCAGGCCGTGGCTAGACTGCAGCTTTTGACTGCCCCGCTTTGGAACACGGACGTCTAGGGAGCTATGGAAGGAAATGCAGAGGAAGCTTGGCATATGATAGGGCCACCAGCCAGGACACTGGCAGATTGCGCCAGGACCACACTGACCCTACAAGAAAGCTGTCCTATGGATGATTTCTGTGACACTTGTGGTACCTACTCATTTTCTGCACGGGGACACTGAGAATCAGAAAGGTTGGGGAGAGCTGGGGGCACTGGGTGTACTGTGTCTGCCAGCCCTGAGGAGACATGGGACCTTCCCTCTGTCTTTTCCCTTCCTCCCAGAGTACGCTGCCATCAACTCCATGTTGGATCAGATCAACTCTTGTCTGGACCACCTGGAGGAGAAGAACGACCACCTCCATGCCCGCCTCCAGGAGCTGCTGGAGTCTAATCGGCAGACACGCCTGGAATTCCAGCAACAACTCGGGGAGGCCCCTAGTGATGCCAGCCCCTAGGTGCTGGGAGCCCCAAACCAGGTCCCGGCCTCGCCTCTCTAGGCCATGTTCTGGCCTATGTAGATACCACTTGGCTTAGACACCACCTCAGGTACTGGCCTTCAGATCCCCCAGTGGGTCTACCCACCTGGACCAAGCCCCACTGCCCCATCATCCCTTCTGGAGCCAGGTGGAGCCAGCTCACTCACTTATCCGACTGCCCAGCTCCTGTCTCTTTCCCCTCCACCCTGGATTGAGTGTCCATATTAAAGAGATCTCCCACACCACTGCCCCTCTTGCCTCTTTGTGTCAGGGTAGGGGCCCCAGTAGCCACTGGGGGCAGATGGAGCAGACTGAGGCTCCTGAGCCACGTCGTGGGGCTGGGGTTCTTAGCTATTTTTCATTTCTGATGCAGAGGAGGATACAGGCAAGGTCAGGGCTTCCTCCCTACCTGCCCTACCTGGTGTGTTGCCTGCTAGCAGCTGCTTCCCAGCCTGGCAGAGACAGACATGCTCTGTGACTGAGCTCATTCAGCCTCTGGGCACTAGGGCCTTTCACCATGAAAACCGTGGTGCGTTCCACTCTAGCCTTAGTCTTCCCAGCTGGCACTAACAGCCAGGCCATCTTATCTCTGAAGGTCATTTCTCTATAAATGAGGAAACAACAGAGCTAAGGCTGGGTCAGTTCACTGCTCATCTGTCTTTGGGTTAGGAGGGTTGTGCTTTCCTGGCCAATCAAGAGCTGAACCTCAGCAGCAGGGGACCCTCCCAGTCCCAAATCTTAACTCCATGTCTGCTCTGGCTTCTGTGAGATGCAGCTGGATAGAGGTCAACACACGGGCCAAGAATTTACACCTAGGGTTAAGTCCTGGCCAGTCTGACTTGGCAAGTCACATGACCCTGCTAAGGCCTCTTTATCTGCAACTTGGGGGTAGGAGCAAGACCATCTGCTAGGGCCACCAGCCATAAGAATTTTCTCTCAAGTTGCCTTTCTATCCTTGATACACTATGAGGGAAACTGAGGAGGCTCAGAGAAGTCCCTTGTAGTCCTATCCCAGAGACCCTGCATCTCAGGAAGCCTGACTTTGGTTTCCTGGTCCTCCACCACACTGTGTCCAGAGAGTAGGTGCCCCTCCCTGTCTCCACCCCGACACAGTGCTGGTGGGGGCTGCAAAGCGGAGCAACTCTTTATTGGATTTTGAGTAATAACATCAACCACGTGAACATCTCCACGCAGTACCTAGAAAACATTAGCAGGCCGGGCCCTAGTCAGGCTGGCTGGCCGGAGCTCCCTCTATCAGGTTTTGAGGCGAGCTGAGCGCCGAAGGGAAGGAGGGGGCTTGGGGCATCCAGGCTTCACCTTGCTGGGTATTTTTGCTGTGTCCTGGGAGCTGGGCTGGCTGGGCAGGCGGCCATTGCTACTGCTAGAGGTGAACAGTGCAGTCAGGGCATTGCGGGCGTTGATCGCACACCTGCGGCTCACGGGCCTGCTGGCAGGGCTGGGGTTCTTGGCTGCTTTGTATTTCTAGATACAAAAGTTTTCAAGTTAGGTGCAGTGTATGGCACGCCTGGCCAGCAGCTGCTTCCCCACTTGGGCCTAAACAGTAATGATCTCTTGTGTGATCCTCTCTAGGCTCCGGCGTCACCCCCACCCCACCCCCACCCGGACCTGCAACACGCACAAGCACGTAACACAAAGAGCCAAGCCAGAGTGGAGCATGCTCAGGAACTGCCTTGGTACAGCAGCAAACAGCTGCTGGTCATACCCACCAATATGAACAGGCCGTGCCCCTGGGCAGGGCAGCCAGATGGCCACTCACCTGCAGGTTCTCAAAGTGGGCCAGGGACTTGCAGTGGGAGAGCCGCAATCCTGAGTTAGTGTCGTAGAACTTGTGACAGATGCGGCAGACATAGCCCATGGCGGGCACCAGGAAGTCCACACCTGGGGGACAGACAGCAGGGGCTGCATACCCAGGTCCCTCTCACCAGTTGGGTGTCCCACCTGCTCTAGGTGGGAGAAGAGAAGAGCACCAGAGGGTGGGCTGCTAGACTGGAGTGCTGTGGCGGCTGGGGGCTTAGGTTGGGGTCTTACCGTATGCCGTGTTGGGGCTGTAAGTCTCTGAGCCTTTCCATTCCTCTAAGGATGTATCTCCTGACCTCACCTGGAGAGGGAGCGAGAGCTCAGATGTGGTGCCTCTGGCCCCACCCGGACACAGGTCAGGGGCCTGCAGTGCACTCATGGTCTCCAGAGCACCAACCATGCCCCTCGGCTTACAGCCCGTTCAGGGTGGCCTCTGAGCCACGGCACATGCCGATCCTGCCTCCCAGGTGTCCTGATGACTGCGTTGTGGGTGAATAAACACTTCCTTTCTGAGGCTTTTTCAGCACACTTGAGTGTGTGCACGCGTGGGTACCTGAGGCTAGCATCTGTCAAATCTCCAGAGCTTTGGAGGCACAGGCAGTCAGGAGCGATCTGACGTGGTGTGGGGAACTGAACCCAGGTCCTCTGGGAGCAGCACAGCTTCTCACCACCTCCTACTCATCTCTCCATCCTCTTTCTTTTCTTTCTTTTTTCTTTTTGGAGACAGGGTCTTGGTATAGCACATGATGGAGCTCTCAACCCTCTGCTTCAGCTTCCTTCGTGCTGGAGCCTGTATGACTTCCCTCCCCCGGTACTAGGGGGGTGAATCTAGGGCTTTGCCCGTGCTAGGCAAGGACTCTACCACTGGGCTATAGTTCCTAGTCCACTGCCTTCCCCTCCCCACCCCAATCCACCTGCGTTTCTTTTCCTTTGTCCAAGAATAGCAGGGAAATCTTACCCAAAGCCTCCCAGGACTGCTGTAGCGTGCCTTCTGTGCCTTGCTAAGCACTGTTCCCTCTGCCTTCCCTTGCCCCACATGGTATCTCAGCCTTTAAGGCCTTTGCATATGTCACCTGTCACTCAATGTCACTCAATGTTCAAGCTTAGTTCCATGGCCATGTGACACAGCCCATAACTGCGTCATGTATTAGTGCTTACAAATGCCAGCACAGTATCTGGGCCCCTCAAGGAGTAGGGCAGCCCCTCGGTCCCCAATAGCCTCGAATGGCTCACCCCACATACCTGCTTGCAGAATTCCTCCTCAGCCTCAATCTCTTCCTCTTCCTCATCATCCTCGTCCTCTTCTTGATCACTCTCGAAGCAACCAACGGCATCCACCGTGATGAAGTGCTCCTCCTCTGGGTTCACTATCTCCTTTTCAAGTGTCTTCAGCTGCCCAAGGCACAGGTGAGGGACTTAAGTCAGATATGGGCAGCTAAGGTACCACACACTTCTGAGGGTTCTAGGCCTTGCTCTATGATCTTGGGGAACGGATTCATGCTGTGCTCAGGCAGTGGGGGTTACCTCCTTGGCCTTGTCTTTGTGTCCCTGGGACTTTACATGTTCCACAAACTTTCGAGGGGTCTTGAAATAACGGCTGCAGATGGTACAGAAGGGCCTCAGGGATTGTTTTGCGATCTGGGGAAAGGAAGGCAGGCCATGTGGTGCATTGTAGCATTCCTAGGTACAAGCCACCCTATCAGTGGCCCAATGAGACCTCACCTGTCAAGCTTGCGGGCTCAACCCAGCTCTGACCCTACAATGGGACATGCAAAATCAGTTCTCTTCACTATGTGAGAGGTAGGTGGCAACAGAGACAGGCTAGGAGGGAGGACAGCCACCAAAGACACCTCAGTAGGGTAGAGGCTGAATAGCAGGGTGAGCTGGTGCCTACACTGAACAGATGGGCAAAGTAAAAGCCCAAAGGGAACATGACTGACTCACCAGAAGTCACGTGAGGGATAGTCACATGAAGACAAAAATAGACTTTGCATCCCACTCCCACCCGGACCCCCTCCCCCACCTGGCTGTGGCACACACAGGTGCCTTTGAAGCATGAGCGGCTGTCGCACCTTGTGCTCCTGTGTCCTGCGGTGCTGGATAAGGTCTCCCATGTAGTACACCTGGCAGGTGTTGCACCAGCGTTTTGGTGGAGGATCTCTGAATGGCACAATGAAAACAAAGCAAGGCATGATGCTACATTCTCCCAGAGTGCTCTGGAAGTGTTTGTGGTTCAGAAGCCAGGGTGGGGGTCAGTCTGCGGTGCCTCCTTCAGGGGCCAGGAGTCTAGTATCAAAAAGACAAAGAGCAGCATCTCCTGACCCCAAGAGTTAACAGACATGAGCTCTCTGTCCGCCAGGCAACAAGCAGAGCGGACATGAGTCTGCTGGCTTCCGTCCTCAGTGGAACCCCCAACCATTGACACAGACGACTGTCCAGCCTGAGAAAGGTCTCCAACAGGGTTTACTGTAATCCTGAGTAAGTCAACTCTGAGATCTCGTTAAGCAGTTGGCATTAAATTCTTGATCTTATGCCAGGTGGTGCTGGCGCAGGCCTTTAATCCCAACACTTGGAAGGCAGAGGCAGGCGGATCTCTGTGAGTTACAGGATAGCCAGAGCTACACAGAGAAACCCTGTCTCGAAGAAAACAAAAAACCC